TTAAATTACTATCTAATTATTATATTTAATTATTTATTATTCTTAAAATTCATAATGGGAGAAAGTGTTTTGAAACGTTGAGAGAAAAAAATAAAAACGTGCAAATGGGAAATCGCTTTCGCTGATGCAGCTTGGTCGCTTATATTCGGAAACAAGCAGTTACATTTTCATATGCTTCCAATGGTCTTTGAGTTCTTGCAAACATAAACACAGCTTACACTACTAATATAAGTTCTTCTCTAATATAGTTTTGACAATCGAGAGTCGCGTGTCGAAGGAAAGTCGGCGCACCTGCCGCAGCAATACCGATGACACTATTGCGATGTAATCCTAATTGACATTCCTGCGGCGATCGATCGAGCTATCTCGCGGATAAGAATTAGCTTCGTTACCGAAGCACACCATATAGGATCGCGGAACCATTGGACACCCTTGCGGGCACACATCACGTCGAATTTCAAGCTAGTGTTTTTCTAGCGGCGTGCGTCGCGATAACCCTTACAGAAATTTAATACTGTAAGTGATTATTTGGTTAGTGATTAATTACTTATTTTGAGTATTAAAAGCACTGTTTTTAATGCTTTTAATGCTCAAAATAAGTAATTAATCACTAACCGAATAATCACTTACAGTATTAACCCTCAAAGGACTTCGTCGGGTCGTTTTCGTCCATCCGAAAAATACGATCCTGAATATTTTTTAAAATATTTTTTTGAGCCTGAAACTCATTTTTTATATTTATTATAAATTTAAAAAAAAATCACTTTTTTTCAATTTTTTTATGCTAATAACTAAAAAAAAACTATTAAAGAAAAAAATTTTTTGGAACCAACATCACAGCTTAAAAGAGGAAAGTTCAAAGAATATCCATGAATTTTGCAGAATTTTTTGAATGATATTTAATATTATTTATAAGTCGAAGAGCAAAAAGGACTCGACGGAGTACTTTTAAGGTGCCAAAAAGCACGAAGTCTTTTGAGGGTTAAATTTGTAATTTTTAACATTAATTGCTCTCGCGATTAAATTAAATTTAAGGCGGAAGATAAAAGTTTCGTGCTAAATTATATCAAATTGGCCGACAGTAGATCGACGCTGTTGCCGCCTGTTGCACATATCTTCACATAACTATTTCTCCAATATTTCTGCATCTATTTACCACGCGGCACGGTGATTTTTCACATTTACGGCGAGGCACGAAGTCACATTATGATCCTCGATCGATCCAATTACTTTCGTGTTACGCGGTCGATGTACAAAAAAAGGCTTTTAAAATGCGTCGCGTCGCAGATAGCCGCGCGCATAGATTACAGAGCGCGCGTGTCTATCCTTTAATGACGCGCGGCTCACGGGAATTACGGGCAATTGGAATTACGTTGCGCGTCGTAATTAAGCGGCAATTAACTATGCCACCTCAGCGTTTGGCCGCCGACGGTGTCTTTTAAGTAGAGAGTCGTGACAGAGTCGCGATGCGCGCGACGACGCGAGCCTCGTCGAGCTCGAAGGATGAGGCTTGACGTTGCGAAAGATCATCGTTGACTTACTTACTTAGTTGCGCCGTCTCGCCCCGCAAATTATAGTGCGACCGATTATAGCGTTCGCCAACGTTTGCGGCGAGGGGGAGGGTGATTAACCCCTTTAAGATCCTCGGTATCCGACAGACGTGTCTTTTTCTTATTTTTCTTATACGAACGTGTAGATTCCGAGACCCCCGTTCACACAGTTCACGGACGTGATTCTTAGTTATTACCGTGATTATTTGGTACCGTCACGTGTCTTCAGACGTAATAAAACCTGTTTTAAAAGTATAATAGATTAAATATGATAATATGTCAATAATAAATATATTAATGATGCAGTGGAACACGCCTTAAGAATGGAACAATGAAAAAAAGAAAGGACGGGAGACCTTGCTGAAAGAGAACCCGCTAGTTATGTAAGCCTTCTAGCTCTTCGTATTTTAAATATTTTTTAATCGTAAGAAGATTGAAGATTTTAAAATCAATGTGAACAACTTGGTAAATAATTGTTACTAACAGTCATTATCATACTCGGTAATCGTCATTGGAAGAAACGCATTAAAAATAAGACCATGAAAGCAATATACTCATAAATCAGTGATTTTATGCGGGATTAAATTTATTCTTCCTTTTTTATTACAATTTTTTTTTTAATAAGTAGCGATGATTCAAAGTGTCTACGGTGTTACGTAACGCGCATCGAACGCACGCAGAAACTGTCAGGTTGACGGAAAATATGGCAATTATGTCGGATTACTCTCGGTTTTGCACATACGCGAATAATGTCAACCTGTCGGGCGAATTTATCGGTGCTGCGAACCGGGAAGCTATTGTTTGCACAGTACTAAAATTAACCGAACCGCCAATTGAAGGGTCAAGGCTCGTTCTTGATATCCAGCTTGAAAATAAGAGCCTTACACAATTTCGCAATTAAAGCTGAAGAGGTTTCGAGCGATAAGAACGCTCTTCATTAGCGGCCTGCTTGATATGCTTGAATAAGGTGGACCGAAATAGAAATATTGACTTTGTCAATAGAGTCCATTTGTCGATATCTGATAATTGCGAATAATTTTACTTTTTCAAAGTCTCACTTCCCACACATAAAAAGTATTATTAAACGATACTATTAATTTTTGTAGAAATTAATTAATGGGAATTTTATGTAAGTTTTTAGACTATTTGATTGCTTTGTTACCTGAGCAGCCAAGTCGGCGCCTAATTTATCTATACATGAAAACTTTTAAATTTATTCTTGTGCCAGTCGAACAGCTCGACGCTGTAGGATCTTTCGGCACAAAACACTCTGACGTACCAGTTTTTTATTTCTGACGTTAAACATTTGGATCACTTGGTCCAAATGCCATTTCGGATTTCCAGCTATTAAATCTTTCCAGGCGGTAGCCTTCTAGAACGTGGATTTAATATCTAATCACGCGTACGAGCATTGAACGCTGTACGTAAAATTGCAGACAACGCTCTAGAAGAGATCGGCTCCGAGCACCGCTGAAGTGTATTTCTAAGAATTTGCAATGTGGACTTTTCCGCGCGAGACTCTCGATGATACTCGAGCAAAAAGTTCCGCGTATCGACGGAACAACGTAATCGCCTGTTTGTTTTTTTAAGCCTCTCGAAAATCTACCCAAAATTTACATCCGACATTTCATCGGGCGCGTAAGCGATGTTTTACACTTTTGTTCTTTTTTTCCCGTCTCTTATAATTCTTTTTACACTTGAATATCCATTACCCCTTTTTTGCAATTTGAATATCACTCATCGCCGTCAGTCGCAGTCGAATTATAGAAACTTGAGAGACTCGATAATGAATAACGAGCATCGGAAGGGGAAGCCTTTCGCAAAAACTTGTAGTTTTCCTAGCGCTAACCTACATTTACGTCCTCGATCGCCTGCCATTACGATGCTCTCGGCTGGCGATTAGCGATCATCGGACGCGGTAGCGGAAATTGAAACCGGGTTATTTTTGGCAGACCTCTTTCTCGAGATATCACACGAGATCACGGGGTCCAGTTACAGCCTGTATCGTTCATCGACCTTCGCAGGATTTATCGCATCGCAGTGGCAGAGCGAATTTCAATAATAAATTCTGTGTTTTTCGATGAGAGAGAAAGAGATTTTAACGCATGGGTAAAATAGCGGTAGTACCACTTAGCGACACGTGGATTATTGTATTGAATTACGCATGCAAATATTCGGAATGGTAATTTTCGTATACACACAAGCAGGATTCGTGACGTCTTTTAAAACATTCTTTAGTACAGAACTTCTAAAAGATTTGTAATTTATAACTTTTTAATATAAAACTTGAAATTTTTTTGCTCTCAAAGATTTATAGTCGAAGAGTTTGTGAAACGACATGCGCTCGTTTCGTTAAAGAAGAAATCAACTTTCAAATGAATTTTCTACGCGTTAAAAAATTCGCGACATTTGTGTGCCAAGCTTCAGAGTGACAGAGGTGCTTATCGCACCGACCGACACCGCGCGATTCATCCAAAAGCCCGTACAGCACGTAACATTCAGAAGGACGTCGCTGTGCTCCACCTACGCAGCCCTCAGATTGCTATTATTACTTGCCAAACCAGCCGCATCGGGGAGGTAGGTCGCCGAGTAACGGGGAAGCGCGGAAGGAAAGGATTATTCGCGGCTCTATGTGGGGAGCTCCACGCGAACGCAGGGAGGGCAGGTAGAGGGGGAGGGGGATAAAAAGGAGGATTTACCGCAGGGTAAGACGCGATAGAGAAAGCGAGAGGAGGCGATAGATCGTAGTAGTGGAGGCTCAAATGCGAGTATACGGGCACTTGCCTGTCAACTGGGTAAAAGAAGAAACGGGGAGGAGGGGAGGTCATCGTCTTCAAGAGCGTTGCTTCGGCACCGATTGTAGAAAATTTATAAAAAATAGAATATTCCGAAGTATTTAATATCAATTCGCTCGGGAGAGAGATATCAATTTACATATTCATCGTTTAATTATCTTGTTATAAATATTTATTATTATAACTTATAGCAATCGTAAGCTTTATAGCTTTACGATTAGTTTATAGTCTTGCGTTAATTTTAAATTAATATAATCTAAAATCTAAATTCTCTCAGTTTACGAGTGGCAGGAAAATTGTCCGATTTATCCGAAAATTTTCATTATTAATTCCGTTTCACTAATCTTTCACGTCAATTCGGGTACATTTACGAAACTTATATTTTTAACGGAAGAAAAAGTGAGAAGAATTAAAAATTAAATTCCACTCGTAAGCGACGAAGGCAATATAATAGGGTTCACGAACGAGGCGGAACGTTCCTGCGTAGCAGGCGCAGGAGAAGCACCGTAAGGGGGGCCGAAGAATGGAGGAGCAACGGCGCGGCGTCCAGCAGCAGTCTGAGCAGTAGTAGTAGTAGTAGGCACTGAACGGGCGCACCGAAGGGGGCAAAGTGGAGCGTCAAGTGGGGGGGCAGAAATAAATCGTTCACCTGAGTGTCGTGCCGTGGATCGGCGGACCCGCAGTGTCTCGGCCGATCTCACATCGATCGCACCACACGTTCACCACAGTTCGTCCACATTCGCGCGCAACACACGCACACCGCACGTCAAGGAACGCCACGCTCTCCGGTTCCGCTCGATTTCGCATCGATTCTCTCCTTCTCCTCCTCCTCCTCCTTCTCTTCTTCTTCTCGTTCCCTTCTCCGTCGATTCGCTCCTCGATCTCTCTCATCTGATCCTCTCGTTCATCTCTCTCTCCCTCCTTTCCTCTTCTTCTCCTATCTGCATCTCCACGTCTCTCCTTCCTCCCGATTCGCATGCCTCTTCTTCGCCGAGGTACATCATCATCGCCGATCGTTCCCACGATCACTGTCGCGGCCGCCAGCGGTCGAGGAGGCAGCAGCAGCAGTCGCCGCGCGTACTCGTCGCGTGTTCAGATCGGACTCGACGTGGAGTCGGGAGCAGGAATCGCGGGATCTTGGCTGGTACCGCCGTGAGGGATCGTTCGGCCGTGGACGTGGAGGATCCACTGGACATGTCCTGACCCGCGATCGGAACGTTTCCTCGGGCGACGAGCACGTACGACGACGAGCGACCGGCGCGAGTAAAAGAGAGAAGTAAAAGCGCGCTATTTTTTTTTTTAATCCGGATCGCGACCAGCATCTCCGGTACATAATAACGCTCGACGATCCGACCGGCACACTTAGCGCGCACCGCCGCGAGAGGAGGACCGACTTTCTCCAGTTGGCACTGTTGGCAGTCAAGCCGTGCGCGCGCGAGGCAGCGCTTCGAGGTCGCTGCGAGAAAACGCCGCGTGCCGCGAGGACGAGGTGGATTGTACGCGCGACTAGTTGAATGAGGTCTCGAAAGAATCCACTTTGACAAGTCGGTTGTTGCTCGTGCATGACGCACTGCGCGCCGCCTCAAAGGCGTATCCAGGCGCTGCGGTACACCGGAGAGAGAGACAGGAAAGGAACACGCGTGCCTTCGCACTTCGCGCCGCTTGTGCTGTGATTTCGGGGTGAACGCTCGGTGAACGCCATTCAGAATGAGGGTGCATCGCGGGATCTGCGCCAAACTGCAGGGCGGCTTTCTCAGACGATGGTGTACGTATCTGACAAAATATTTGGTTTGTTCGATGGCGACGCGCTAATTGATCGTTTTAAGAGATTATTCCAAATTCGATTTGGCTGAAAATTTGAAGGAACCTTCGATAACGTTAATGTAATCTATCAACATATCTGCATAAATTTAAATAAAAATCTCTTCTGTAAAGAACTGTGCTCTATACGTACAGTGTAAGAGTCTGTTTTTGATTCAATATTTTTGCAACAAAGTTTTGAATAAAATTAGTAATTTAAATTAATCATTATCTAGAAAAGATTGAATAGATAACGTTTGCGTTATTCGAATATAAATGCGCAAACTGTAAAAATTATCGAGATGTCTTTTAGCTAAACTCTGATTAAAAAGATAATTCTTTACACAAATAAATTTTTGTTAATTCATTCAAATTTTCGAGATTATTTACTGAGAGTGTCTGCTTGTATAGCCTAAATGCCTTTACAGTTTTTACCTTGGTTACCAATAAACAAAACATTGCGTGAACACGATAAACGACTGGTTGTGAAAAACGAGTGTCATGCGCGCATATGTTCGGTCATGCCTCGCGCATTTATCGCCTAGGTATTCAAAGATGTTTCGCGACATTGTTTGCACGTCAAGTTTGCATATTTGACGATTAATGTAATGTGACCGATGATTGCCAATATTGCCGACCGATCGATTAGACGTCGTGGTAATACGCATTCCGACAGCGATAATGAAATCGACGTGAAAGAGTTTCGCGGTAGACTTGCAGGTAATCTCTAAAAACGCATTTGAATTTCTTACAATAATCCTCGTTGAGTTTTTTTTAAATATTATCAATGATTAATAGCAAACAAATACTACACGATTAATTTGATCGGAAGACAAAACTTGGGTGGTGTAAAAGAAAGTTTCGGTTTGTGTAATATTAAACATGCTTTTGTTGAATATTATACGTATTTTATAATTTGTAGATAAAATATTAATTATTAATCCGTAATAAAATAGATTTATAATAAGACTTTGCCATAGTAAAACTAAACCACTTGAGACGATCTCTTATAATTTGTGTCAGAATTAAAGAAAATTAACATTCCATTTATAATTTTATGCCTTATTTTATCTCGCGTAATACGAAAAATATTTGAAATATATTATATATAATTAAAATATCACGTATATACATATCAAAATAGGTACATTAATTCGTTTAAATACTTTAAATCGTGCGCTTAATTGACCGTGACAGATTAAAGTAATTTTTATCGCCGTTGAAATCCATGCAAATCGTGTCTCAATTCCTGATCATAATTTATTTCCGGATGATTAGCAAAGAATTTGCCGAGATACGCGGTTGATTTGATCATCCTTGTTATATCACACCTACTTCTCAAAATAGCTGTGAGAAGATTAAATTATAAATAACAGAAAAGTGTATGTATTTGTTTATGTATGTATTTGTGCCAATAATTAATAAACGAGAAAGACTCTATTTTTATATTCGACAACGTTTGGCTAATGTCGTGACAATTCGGCCGTTAGTTTTGGTCAGATTAATCGTCACGACTTTTTCGACCATGGGTTTTGGTCGTTTCTTGACGATTAATCTGACCAAAACCAATGGTCGACTTGTCACGACTGCATTAGTCAAACGTTGTCGAATATAAAAATAGAGTCTTTCTCGTAAATTATAAATCTTTTATTTATTAAATTTTTAAGATTTTTTGTCGATTAAATGGAACTTATTTTTAAGATTATTTTTCTCTCGCATTTTTTTTACGTGTGATTCACCATGCTCGAGGAATCGAGATTCTGGATTGGTCGAGAGCACGATCGTTAATTAACAGTCGTTCCGAGAGAAAATTACGCAATCCGCAGTCCTCGCCTCATCGATTCCCAAAATTAATTAGTCTACTGATTTCGCAAATTTTGTTTACTTCGAATCTTTCTCACATGGCGTTTGTTCGCGCGAACAAAATTTGCGCACGCTCGGCACGCTCGGGGGCATGAATCGAGATGTCTGGACCGCGGCCGAGAGGCTGCGATTAACCCGATCATCACGAGTAATGTCACGGCTGTAGCTGGTGCTCTTAATTCGATTCAATGGATGTGTCATCGCGCGCACGGTCGACCACACTGAATCATTGCGGTTTATACAGCCCGGCATCGCGTCGCCTCGCCTCTTTTTCAGCGCCCCGGTGTATCGCCGACGACGATGAAACGTTGACACCTTAGGGACATTGCCACGCGGCAAATACACGCGGGCAGATTCGTAGGCGTTCGCGCACGGTTACTTTCACCACGAGAGTTCGTGAGGTGGCCCGAAAGTTTTTTCGCTCGCAATCAGGTGTCGGGTCCGTTGCACCATGGCGCGAAATGAAGCGTGGCCCCGAATGTATATAAATAATTTCGGCGAGTTTTCGACCGTCATTAAAGCATGCGTTATTAATCCGCGGGGCGTTCCCGGAAAATTAGGAAATCCTTCGTCAGAATGAAATAAAACGTTACGTACGAATAACTTTGCGAATCAGAGATAAAATGTACTATTTTTATTAAGCATAATTGTTCTTTATTTCATTCGTCTGCTTTAATCTCTTCGATAAAAATTTAATTTCTTTTCCATTTAGAAATTACACGATTAATGGCATTATAGATATCGATGAATAGTCAAGCTGTCACGTTTTCACGTACGTTGTCGCTCGATAATACCGTATTTACCGTTCAGTAAACGCGAAGTTTGTCTTCGCGTATCGCACTATCATCAGCAGGCTCATCAGAGGTACCGGCTTCAATCTCCGATTGCGTGTCTACCTCGAGAGAGACGTCACGATTGAAGATTAATTCCAACGAAGAGAGTCACGTTACGCTTTTATTATTCCCGCAACCACATGATGATGTAACGAACTATTTTCCATGATATTCTTCCTGGATCTCGTCTTTAATAGAATAGAACTTTACCTTAACGGAATTTTAATGTCGGACTGACGTCTCGTGACGTATGGCAGCGAATCCCGAATTTATCGTAGAATTTTTTACTAAAGAATCGTCGTTTCTTCTTCATGAAATCATGACCTTATGACACGTTACATAAGTGCTTCCAAGGCATGAAAAACCTTCAAAATGCGCGCAAAGTAATATGATCGAAACTGACGAGTGCGCGATTTCTCTTGTATAAGAACATATGAAACCATAATGAAAGAAGAAAATAGAAATGCGAGAGGAGTTTAGTCTCTTGATTACAGGGATCGTTCCAAGGATATCTCTTATTTTTTCCACTCAAAGTCCTTCCTTAAACACATCTTTACGCTGCTTTAACCGTTTGATTATACCTCGCGCGAAGTATAAATCAGTATACCGGATCGTTCGATCGCTTTGCACCGGTTATCCTCGTCAAAGCGATACCATTAACTTCAAAGGTCGGTTGATCGGGTTCGCTGGTGGGCTGCTCACAACTGCCGCGCGATCAGCGCGTTTTTCTTTCGTGTTGTGTCAGTCAAAGAGGCTTGTTTCACATTCGTATTATTCGTGACCAGGCGAGCCGGCTCGAGAGGCGGGTCGATCGATCGATTCGCGCTTAAAGTCCTTCTGATCGGCAATGATAATGACAATGGAAATAATGCGTGAGAGAAGACAAAAAAGTTGCGAGAATAATCGTTGATAACTATACGAAGTAGTGTGTCATAAATAAATCGACGTCTTTTTCGAGACATACGGGTTGTTTGTTCGCGACGCGGATGAACTTTGCGACCATTAGTGTTCACGTTCACGTCGGCCTCGGACTATCTGTCCGCGGGCAAGTTCCGTGATCGTTAGCGAAGTGCATTGTATACCTGCCTTCTATCGCCGCTGCTTTTCCCCGCTGAACGTTTGTCCGCGTGCATATGTAAGGCATTCGATATATGTTTTCATATATGAGAATGCTAATCGATATCTCAGTTACGTACTTGCAATCCTTTGATCCTTGAGCTTATCCCTCCTTGAGTCAGGAATAAAAATTATATTTTAAATAACATGCCGTAAATTACAAGATTATTTGAGACAATGCATTGATAAATTATAAGGTATAACAAATTTAAATTAATTAGAGATATAGAAATAAATGCAGGTGTGAGACTGATGTAATTTACAAAAAAATATTTCAAATATTTATGAAGTGTATATCAAGTCGTTATTTATATGTATAAAACCGGATTTTATATAAATTACGAATACACTTTTTCTTGCAATCCTTCATTAATCCTAATAAGACACGTTCTTGAAATGCTTTCTTTGCTAAAATGTATTATCTCTTTGTATTTGTGAATAGAGATAGAGAAATAGATGAAATGTCATAATCAACGCGAGAAAAGTGGTCGGTGAGAAAAAAATGATAGTGTGTTATTACTGCAGTTCAACGCTATTTTTTCTGTCGTACAAGTGACACGCTAGACGCGATAGATATCCGAGACAGGCCCGGTAATGTTTTACATATTATGTGGTGATTGGCGTAAGAACAGGAAGCACTCTTATGTAAGAAGTAATCGCCACACTTACATACCTTTACGTGCACATGCATACTTTTTTGCATATGCACCGCTGCACTTCATTATATTTTTGCTTGAACAAAAAGTTTGCAATATCAACAATTATCGATTCCTATTATCAATCTGCGGATATGTTACGTTCGACACTTGAATAGAAATTGTAAATTTTGCGTAAAAACCAGTTTCCAGAAAATCGTTCTCTATCAGAAAGAACGAGATTATGAGAATATCGAGTTATTTTAATGCGAAAAATATACTCTTTTCTATCTTCCTAAATGAAAGAAGTATATATTCATACAATTTTAATAATGTATAAAATATGTAGAAATATTTAAATAACACTTCCAGAATTTTAGTTTCTTATAGTATTTATAATATATAATATATATCATAATTTTTATATTATGTATTATAATTACAGCGTTTTCACGTTTAAAATATTTTAGAGTTTAGCATTTCTCTTTTTTCAAAAGAGCTGTCGTGTTACTTTTCGG